TAATGCTAAAATATAATTACTCTTATCATCCAGTAATTTTCAAATTTACCATCTTACAAAAAAGCAGAGGGAAAAAGTAAAGCACATTACAGTTTTTTCAATTAAGATCCCAAATTACAGTTATTTGCTTGCATTCCTAAACATAAAAATTTGTTTTAGTGGTTGAAATTAAATTTCTGACTTCCTAGGAGAGGTCCAGTGTGCTGGCTCAAAATTGAGTATAAAAACATGACTTCAGCTTATTATCAGCCTAATAAATAAAAATATACTCAAAGTTTTGAACAAAGATGTTGACAGAATTCTTAATTATTTGAGTGGGTTTGTTTTTGGTTGTTTAGTTCTAAGACACTTTTAGGACAAATTTGTTACACGATGTTTTTGTATATTTTATTTTCAATTCAGTTGTGTTTCCATGAAACAATTTTCAATTCAACTCAGTTTTATTTATACAACACCAAAATAAATAAACTTCACCGAAATCACAACAACAGTCGCCTCAAGGCACTTTATATTGTAATGTAGACCCTATAACATTACATACATAGAAAACACCAACAATCATATGACCCCTATGAGCAAGCACTTTGGCAACAGTGGGAAGGAAAAACTCCCTTTTAACAGGAAGAAACCTCCAGCAGAACCAGGCTCAGGGATGGGCGGGGCCATCTGCTGCGACCAGTTGGGGTGAGAGAAGGAAGACAAGACAAAAGACATGCTGTGGAAGAGAGCCAGAGATTAATAACAAATCTGATTCAGCAGAGAGGTCTATTAACACAGTGAGTGAGAAAGGTGACTGAAGCAGAAATACTCAATGCATCATGGGAATCTCTCAGTCAGAACATGCTATATCATGTTTAGGTGGAAACTAGTGAGCTAACTTCCTGCTAACTTCTAACTCCATTAAATTTAATAAATTCTATTTTCATGGATGCCTGGATGTTAAACTTAATTATTACACCTGGTAAAGCAGCAATGCTGCTCATCTTATTAAAAATGAAAGAATTTACAGTTTTTAACTGTCAGTGATGCCGCAGTGTTTGTTTGACTTTGGGACCTGAAACAGACAGAGTTTAGGACCCAGATTACTCCGCAAGGCTCCTGACTAAGGCAGCCGTAATGGATGTAATCCTTCACTAGATCCATGAACCTCCAGTGCCATATTCCTCTTTTCCTCCTGGCTGGCATTGCCATAGTCAACATCCTTTGCCCAATATATACGCCTCTGCACATGTCCAAAACATCCCAGCCTTGCACTCTAATATTGTCTTCAAACTGCTAAACCTGAGCTATTCAATGATGTTCAGTGTTCATCGTCTCCAAACCATCATAGCAGGTCTCATCAGTCTTGTAAACATTACGTAATATTACTGTTAATTGTTGAACTCCTATGCCTAATTCTTTCTCCTCTTGTTTATGCCAAGTGAGTAACTTGGATGCCGTTTCGGATCACATTATTCTCTCATATATCATAAATGCAATCAAAGTCTGTGCTGTTATGCAAGAAGTCCAGTTTTTTTTCCCCTCTGTATTGGTTGGGTAACCTGACAAAGAAGTGTAGTGTGTACTCTCCAACTATGAATCATGTTCATTTACCACTGTAGTTTTTTAAGTCTTTGATGGTGCTGTCCAACAGCAACTTTGCATTCATAATTAAAGAAAAATGTGCTGATGTTCAAATTGGCCTCCAGCAGGCTCAGGATAACAAGCTCTCTTTTTCCAAACAATCAGTCACAAGGTGGCTTTCCCCCCCGTCGGCCTGCCTGATGTTTACTGCTGTTGTGTTGACTTGGCAACACCCACGAGGCGCTGATGTCTGTGTTCACATTGATGTTTTACAACAACCTTACAACTGAGATAACGCGGGTGCTTATTCAGGTACCTCGACATTCAGCCTCACAAGTCTGGCAGATGTGTCACCTCTGACCCTTGACCTGGAAATGAAAGCAAAAATAGACACTAACATGGTGGCTAGTGCTCACCATATGGTACCAGGAAAACAAACAGTGTCTGAATGATGTCTCTGTTCCCCACCATTAGGCTGGAAGGAGCCGACATTCTTGCGGTGACCCCTCCAGTTCTTCCTGCACCAAATATCACAAGAGATGCTTTGGTTTGATGTGGTGAATCAGCAGACTATACCGTTTGGTAATGACGCATATAGGACATGGGCTTCTTATTTTATAGTACCGTAACCTAAAAACAACTGAGCAAGTGTTGGTGTGACAGTTACAAGCAGCAAGGAGAATCTTAAAAAAAGTGGAAAAGATTGTGTAGGTAAAACATTTCAAATATGCAGAGCAGTTACATTGTGTCCAAAATGTTATTTCCGTTTTTGTGACTTGGTGTGAGCAACAAAGAACTAAAAGGTGAGGGCAGCCTAGGAGTTTAACATGAAACCAGGATTGGACTTTCCAGATTCCATAATGCACAGTGTGTGGCTCAAACAGTAAAACCTCAGTAGTGCTCAGGTGAGAATGAAACAGTCATTTCCAGGATGAAGACACATTTATGTCTCATTAACAGAAACAACTTTAGGAAAGAAAACATTACAGATGAGATGAAGAAATATCTTTCCAAATGTGCACTTATATTCTACTCTAATTCTATTCTTCTCTAATGTCAGGTGTGGTATTTCGTCTGGTTTGCTATCCTCTTGGGGGCGTCCCATTGACATAATGCTTTCCCTAGCCGCTTACCCTAACCCTAGCCATCATAAAAGGAATGCCTATCACTTACCCTAAACCTAACCATAACCCAATTGTAACCCGGACATTAAAAACACATTAATGTCCGGGTTACACACATTGTGAAAAATGTCTTCAACCTCGTGGAGACCTGGAGTTTGGTCCCCACAAGGCCTGTTGGTCCCCACCAGTATAGTAAATTTCAGATTTTGGCCCCCACCAAGATAGTAAGAAAACGCGAGCGCACACACGCACTCTAACTCTAAGAGTAATGATAATTTAATGCATCAAAGGAGAAATTTGTTTAAAACAAACTAACACAACTTCAGTAGTCGTCACAAAAGGCTGCCAAACAATTAATTCAGATTATCTTGCATACATACTGACTGTTTTTAACTTTGTGGGTTAACTAGTTGATTAGTTTGTTTTCTGAATGCTTAAGCAGATAGTAGAGCTGCACCAGAATATTTGGATATTGTTTCACTTGTCTTTATATTCTCTTTTGGTGCTTTATACCATATCAGTTTGTGTTCTTGATATTCCGCTCACACAGCAGACATCATCAGAGTAAGTTCACTTAAATTTTGCCAAATTAGTAATTTTATAGGACTTTTTTTAAATATACCTTTTGATTAAATATAAACAATAATTCAAGTGTAAAATAAAATGTAAAGATTTTTATGACTAAAATGAATTCTGATTTAGAGCTGGATTCAGATTTTCTGAAATGCTATTGTAATTTCTGTGTTTTGGGTCCAAAAAATCAGGTCTATTGTGCTTCACCTTTTTCCATGCTGGTCTTTATTCCTTTCTCTTGCATCCCTATTTTCCTTTCATCTTTTCCTGTGTTTGTTCTACATTTAGCATGTGCATCTGTAGAAATTTTAATCATCCATTAGAAACTGTCTTGTGTGTTGTTTACACACATTTATGCTTGCAGTGCCTCTGAGCACATATGTAGTTCATATGTGATCGGTGTAGCTGCTGGGGAGAGTGCGGAGTGCATGTGGTTGGGTTGAGTATGGTCTCTGTACAGAGGGGATCCTGCTTGATGTTTATTGGGTAGCAGATGTGGAAGGGGGAGGAGCTTCCTGTTAGGAGCAAAATGGAGGTCCATGAAAATGAAGCTTACAGAGAACTGCAGGGGGGTTAGAGTAATGCTGAAAGGGACCCAAAGGAAGAAAGAGAGCAGAGAAGATGTTTAGAGAAAATGAAGACTGTAATGAATAATTTATGCTTCAAAAGAACTTCATTATATGTCACAAAGCAGTTCTTACAGCAATAGGAGGGTCCAACCCAGTACTAGCCAGGTGCGATTAATGAAGTGGTCAGTGAGTGTATATTGTAGCATTAAATTGTTTAAACAGTGCAGCAGTGAGTACCTTGACTTATTCGGCAGTGCCAGTGTTAAAATGATGAGCTTTAGTGTCTGTAGCAAAAACTTGGACTGCATAACAAAGATGGATGTTACCCAGTTGTTGTGTCTGGAGTTATTATTTTAAATGTTGGCAGCTTCACCTGCTGCTAAGCTGCTTTTTATTTATAAAGCAAAAACCTTTGGGTGGTCTTTACTGAAAGCCTAAATATGTGCCTATTACTTCCTTCAATAAAATTAAAAAGAAGCAACACTACAAGCCAAACTCTTAGTTGAAGCAGGTCACCACTTGGCAGGCATCTTATGATGGGTTTTGTTCTCTTAATTTGGAGTTTATTTCAAAACTTCAAATTAAGAGCAAAATAAGCTTTTAACAAACCCGCTACCCTCTGGAAGTTAATCGTCCATTTCCCGTTACTGTGTTTTCTCTTATGACACGTCTGCCACAAACACTGTTAAAAGATCTCCCTCGGTGACTCGCATTAGCGGATGTGAAGTCTATCAAGCAGCCATGCAATCAAAGTCTCACAACCTTAATTTCAAGCATCAACAAAATCCAATAGATGCCTTGCAAAGCAAATGATCGTCACACCGATGTAATTTGCACCAGGCCATAATCATAATTTCTGCTTAACATTTGTGAGTTTCTTATGGATTTTAGATATTTTCTTGTGTATATATAATAAATTTCAATTGCTCTGAAGCTTATTTAAAAACTTTTCCTTCTCAGTTCTGTAATTGTGGTACAGTAAGAGTGGGGACACTGGGAGGCAGAAAGAAGTAAAAAATTAAAACTGACAGAGGAGGAGGAGGGGAAGCGAAGTGTGTGTGCGTGTGTGTGTGTGTGTTAGAGCGAGAGAGAGAGCGAGTGAGTGAAGGGGGAGGAGAGGAAAGCAGCAGTGGCAGCGCTGCATCATCACTGTATCGCCACTACAGCAGAAAGGAGAAGCAGTTCACCGTCTACCTCCTTCATCTCTCTCTGTCTCTCACACTCATGACTACACATCTCTCCATCTTCACACACACACTGGAAGTCGACCAGCCGCCACTGAGCCTGACAAGAAGAGCTCCCAGTGACATTATCCATCACCTTTGGATGTTTGCCCTGCCTGCCTCCAGGATTCCAGGACACTGTCTGCTCATGAAAATCTGTGTTTTAATGACCCGCGGATGAGGCGTCTACCTTCAGATGTGCCGTTTGATTGGACCGCCTTGACTTTCTTTGCTGAGGAAGCATTCAGTGCCGGCACACAGAAGCTGCTGGGAATTTTGGGATCGTTTTCCTCTCCCTGTTTTTACCCTTTTGCCGGCATTTGAAGAGTGCCAGTGGATGGCTCTTTTTATTTATTTTTTCAATGTTTGAATTGTTTGGTTCCTGCCCGCTGGAGAACAGTGCTTACCTCGGGATTTGTAGTCAAGGGAAGGGGGTATGATAAACAGCTGTGTGGGGGGGAGGACGGGTTACACTGCACCACTAGACGGGCATCTCTTGTCCTACATTGGGGAATTTTTTTTCTGCCTCTCGAGGTTGCACACATGCACATATTTCACCCCCAGCAGCAGCAGCAGTGGCCGGCTGCGTTTTACATGCACCGATGGATTACTGCTACTTTAAGGACAGGCTCACTGCCCACTGAGGGAGAAAAGATGCTGATATAGAAGAACAGGGGCATGCTTTGTTTTTGGAGCTGCAACTTCAGGGTTAAAACAAATAAAGAGACTTGGATGACAGGATGATGGCTGCGTTGAGCTGAAACTGCCCCCTTCTCCTCCCTCCCTCTTCTCCAGTCCAAACATGAACTCTTCCTCTGATGCGAACCAAAGCGGCTCTCCCTCGTTCTGCCTGCTGGGCTCCATGGGTTACTCCCACAGCATGGATACCTGCGTGCTGGAGGTGGTTGTCATCCTCTTCCTCACTGTGCTCATCATCGCTGGCAACCTGGTGGTGATCTTTGTCTTCCATTGTGCCCCGCTGCTGCACCACCACACCACCAGCCACTTTATCCAAACCATGGCGTACGCTGATCTGCTGGTGGGCGTCAGCTGCCTCGTGCCCTCGATGTCCCTCCTCCACTACCTTCGAGGCCTGAATGAGGAGCTCACCTGCAAGGGATTCGGCTACATGGTTTCTGTGCTGAAGAGTGTTTCCATGGCCTCGCTAGCTTGCATCAGCGTGGACCGCTACATCGCCATCACACGACCGCTGTCGTACACCACGCTGGTCACCCCATGCCGCCTGAGGGTGTGCATCGTGCTCATTTGGGTTTACTCTGCTTTGATTTTCCTGCCGTCGTTTTTCCGCTGGGGGAAACCAGGTTATCATGGGGACATATTTAAGTGGTGCGCACTCTCTTGGAAAACCAACCCGGCATTTAGCACCTTCATTGTGGCGCTGCTCTACGCACCAGCTGCACTTACTGTCTGCTTCACCTATGGGAGTATATTCCGGATCTGCCGGCAGCATACAAGGGAGATCTCCCAACGCCAAGCCCGCTTCAGCCCGCAGACCGAGGGTGATAAAGGTGAGCGGGGAGAGCGTTGCGAAGGCTGCCCGGACAAACGCTATGCCATGGTGCTCTTCCGCATCACCAGTGTCTTCTATGTGCTGTGGATGCCGTACATCCTCTACTTCCTCCTAGAGAGCGCCGGCCTATATCACCACGAGGTGGCGTCCTTCCTCACAACATGGCTGGCAATCAGCAACAGCTTCTGTAATTGTCTCATCTACAGCCTCTCCAACAGCGTCTTCCGTAAAGGTCTCGGCCGCCTCTTTAGCCCACTGTTTCCTTCCTGCCATGGCTGCACGGAGGCCAAAAAGGCTCCAGCCCCCGTCAGCCTGAGACCAGATCCCCGATGCCAAGTGTGAGCTCTGATGAGCTTTGACTAGGATGGATTCGCTCCGGTCGCTTTGGAGGCATCGGCCCCCCTGTGTGTGCTTTGCTCTCTACTGCGTAGCATGACACAGGTCTTTTTGGTCCTGCGGTGAGCACAGGGAGGCACTTGTGCAGAAGCTTTCTGGCCGTTTTAAGAGGATGATTTTTGTGGAAAAAGGAGGCTGTGTCATTCCTGCTGGGACTTTCTCAAATTCTCTCTGTGTGATGCTGCTCTTTCATGGCTGCAGGCTGATGACACAGAGATAATAAGTTTGATACTGATGAAGAAAGTTCAGAGGATTTGATAAACATGCCTCACTGCACTGATTTAATGACTCCCAAATGCAAAAAAGTATAGCACAGTGTGAGCTGGGCTGCCCAATCCACTGAGATGCAAAAAATAATTTATTAATCTTTTCAAGCCTGACTGTAAATCTGTAATTTGTCTTGGTTCTTTCAGGGTGGAAGTATGTGTTGCAAAAAATGTTAAAACACTTGAAGCAGACTTCTGATCTGTTTCCTTTGGGGAACTCCAGACGCCAACGAGTGTAGGAAAAATCATTCACCTTAAAATCGTCACTTCATCGGCTCGTGTGTGGGTTCAAAATGCACAACAGATGGACTTATTTCCCAGAGATTAAGAAGATTTAGGAGCTTGTGTGTGTTTTATCAAGAGGATTTTTCTCTCGGGTGTTAGTGAGAAGCTCAAAATCTGAAAACGCATCGGATTTCACATGAAAAAGTTAGCATTACTTTTTAAACATGGCCTGGAAAGTTTTTCTGCCAGCAGACAAGAATCCTTGTTAAAGAAACAATAGATGATATGATTTATTCTTGTGTTTCATCCTCAGGTTTATCAGCGGTTCTTTTTGTAAGCCTCTGTGCTGTCTGCCTTTGATCTCAGCTGACAGAGTACAGGTCTTTTAAATCAAAAGGCACATTGTAAGGTAATCAGCTCATGACTTGTAGTGCAGTCGGTGTCGATAATGAATCAGCTGTCTGTCAGGATCCTAACATCTGGTTTCAGCTAACTTTATTTCTCGTGTTTCTGCCCTCTTCCAGCAAGAGGGATATCACCCAGCTTTACGAGCCCGACCTCGCCGTGTCAGGGGTCAAAGCCTGTTTCTGAGAGCCAATGAGTGTGTTTCTATTTTTTCTGTTTTTTGTTCTTTGGTTTCATGTAAATACACGTAGAGTATCAATATTTAAACAATGGCTAACTTCGGGGGTTTTATTGATTTATTGTAGACCTGCGGGATACCAGATGATCTTGTGGATCAGTAGAAGCTTTTTAAGATTATTTATTTGCCACAGAGGTCTGACATGCTGCACCTCCGGATTGGAGCCATTTAAAAAAAAAAATTTAGTGTTGAGTAGAAGGAAAAGCATTTCTTAGTATGCTGCGTTTAAAAGCTCGCAGGACTTGTTTTTAAAGTCACAATGAAATTTCTGAAAGCATCTTGACAATTTGACTTTATTGTAGTTGGACAAAGAAGAGGGAATGGGATAGGTTTAATAATGATAGGACGGTGCCGGTAATTTACCCATTTACCACGTGTTTGCTATTTGCCAGTGACTATTAAACAACAGAAGTAGAAGGATGGGTTGGGTGTCACAGTGACTTGCACAAGTAGGATGGATATGCAAAGTGGAAGGTGACTGCAGTCTTCAAAAATTTTTAAAGAATAAACAAAAACTCATCGATGGTCTTGATGAACATTTGCACAGAATTCTGGGAACCTGTTCCTTTACTTGTCAGTCATTTCAGAGCAGGTGAGTGGGTGGGTGATCTTTGGAGAACAGCTGAATGTGGAAGTGTTGTTGTAAAGTCATTTTGCTTCATATGCCACCCCTAGATGGCAAAAAACAAACAAAAAAACATTACAAGTATTTCATGCATAAGAGTATTAGACCAGAAGCCACACACGTTTACTTACTGTCTTTCTGGGATTTAGCTGGTTTGTTCTCAAAGGTAGAATCAAAGTTTTTTTTTAACATATGCATTTAAAAGAAATGTATGTTTTCATGAAAATTGCTTGCAAAACTGAATGAAAATCCAAACTGCACTGGCTGTACTCTGTTATAGTTCGTAGAGGGTTTTTTAAAATTAATTTATTGGCTCATTTAGAAGAGCTCACATTAATAAACAGAGCTTTAAATGAGCCAAAATGAGGCTGTGCCATGTACTGCAGTCTTTGTCAATGAGAAACTACACGAGTGTTCAAACAAGCTAGCCACAGTTTGTATTAGCAAGTGCTTTTACTGTGTTTATTTGAATAGTGTCCGGTGCCGTTAATAACCTCAGATGCTGAACGAAACAGGCCTTTTATTTAAAGCAAGCACAAAGAAAGCCAAGCTTTTATTTCTCTTTTTCTCCAGCATAAGTGATGGTTTTCAGGTAACAACTGTTTCAACTGAAATACAACGTTGCCTTAAGCTAATAGGAAGTAATAACTCTCTTATTGGGCAGAAGTGTGAAATCATATTGAGCTTTTCCTCTTTTTATAATGCACACATTTGTGTAAATGTGAATGGTTGTCAAACCCAGTATCCACCCCACCAACAGTATATGAACCAAAACCTTAAATATGATAGAGAATAAATCATAACATACATATAACACCTGGGGATACTTTAATTTGAAATAGTTACAATAAAAGTCTGTCCATTTCTTAACAAGCCTTTTACTTTGAAATATTTGCAGTTATACTCGAGCAGTAACCCCACAAACCTAAAACATGAAGTCACATTCCTGTAATGGCTCATTGTAAATTTGAAACAGTAACGAGAATAACACCATCGACAGAATGCAAAATGGTTTCCTGGACACATTTGTTTCATGTAATTTGTACCACAAGATCCTTTCTTGAGCGAATCGGACCACAAATAGAAGCTAAAGCATTTGAAAGCTTCTGAAAGATTCTTGTCACGAACATCAACAGCTGTCAGATAGAAACTGTGCTAATGCAAAGAAAAGAAATCAAAATAGCACCAAAAAAATAAAATGTAAAAGTAGCTTTCACTGCTGGAGACGGTTCTTAAAGTAAAGGAGAAATGATGATGCTGAATTGGAAAACTGTCTGAGATACTGGAACGATCCAAGCTGTTAATGCTAATGTTTGCCAGTTGCTAATTTTGTAATATGGTTGCAAAAAAGGTTGTTAAACATGGCTCCGGGCACGAAATTTCACTTGATCCAGAGATGCTACATAGCTGCTCTCCACCTCTGTGCACAGGGGAGCAAGGAGTTTATTTCTCACTTTCAACTCAAAGATAAAGACCTTAATAGTTAGAGCACACCGAGTCACGATTATCAATGTTCACATAAAGCACTGGATTATTTAGCCTGCTGTGATTACTTACTGGTCACAGGTGGTTTTAAGTAACTGCATTTTCCATTTGTCTCGATTCTTTTTTTTTTTTTTTTAAACTTTAGGACTGTTGTAATGTGTAATCAAAGATAACAGTAGGCCTAATAAGATACTTGCTTGACAGTAGCTTTATGGGTTGTATCTCTTGTCTGTTAAAAACCTCAGCCACCTCCCAGTAATAATACAGTTGCTGCATATGCATGAAATTACTTGGTGATCAGTTTTCTTAAGTGCTTCTCAGCCTCCATAGAGTGAGGTGCAGGGAGCAGTCTAACACAGAGAGGCATGTCTGTGGCAAGTTTAAAATCACTAGTTAACACATAAAGCCCACCTTTGGACTGTGAGGGAGCATGCAGACTACACAGGTAGGCCTCTAGCTGACCAGGAAATTTGAACCCAGAACTGCCAGTAAGACAATACTGCAGCGCCTCAATTTCAGAATCAATTTGCAAACTTTAATAACTTTATGATCTTACAAATTCTGATTAGAATTGGCTCCTGTAACATTAATTTGTACAGCTGCTTGATTCATTGAACTCACCCTAAGCTGTGTATGCAGAGTTGGTGCCTTTAAGAATGTTTGTAATGGAATAATCTGACAAATGATATAGTTTGCAGACTGTCCAAGAAGTTTGTGCTTCAGTTGTGGTGAGATTCTGGCATTTTATTTGTCTGTTAATTAACACTAATTAGCAGGTGTCTGTGTTTACCGCTCTACCCCGACTCCCAAATAGAATCACTCCAGGCTCAAGAGTTAGTCTTAACATGCAGACCCAAAAAAACCGAGTCCCTATGGTTGTATCCATCGTATATTTATAGTCTAAACTTCAGTTTGCCTGCTGTTTTTGAGTAAATGTGCTGTGTGTAATTGACAAATAACATTTTTCTGAAGAAACATGCTCTTAATAATACTTTATCTCACATATACTCTGAGTATACATGCGGTTTTATTGTCTTTGTCTTTGATGTCTTAAATATTTTTATGTTCATTTGGTCGTTTTACTGTTAATTATGTTCTCACAGTGTGCATGGAAATAAATGAGAACTATAAAATGTTTCAACGAGAGAAACGTGACACTGTTAAAATCATTATCATTACTACTCTTTTTATTTCATTGTGACTTTAACCAGTGTTTAGTTTTCCCAATAGAAACACAAACATGCCTTTTCACCACGGGGGCTGAGGCGCCAGAGGTCAGACTGATGTCAGGGTTCAGGGTTCAGCTGCAGGACTTTCTGGAGACTTCCCTGAAATGTTCTGTTTAGATTTTTAGCACATTTTTCTGTGTCGTGCTATTTTCTGTCTACAGAATCTGCTTTGAAATGTAAAATGTTGACATGTTGGACGCTCCGGTTTATTTATTGCAAAGGATGCTTCATCGTCAGACTTTACCTGCATGATTCTGGTTCAGTCTGGATCAGTGCGTCTGTCTCATGATGCTACTGAGAGAAATTTACTGACTGTGCTTCTTGTCTTCTAAATACTGTTGCATAACACAGATGGCTCACTCTGTTTTTTGATGATGGCAACGAGTTCAGGAAACAGGAATGACCTTCTCCTTTTCCTGCTGTCAGGAAAAGATCACATTCATCTGCCAAAAGTGACATTTTGTCATTAGAAGTCGTATGATTACGTTGACGAGTTCCATGTGCAAAAAACAGATATGTTAATAACATGCAGATCTTTTGAAGTCCTGATATTTTCCTTGAAAGCCTCGCAGTGCTGCTCATCTGTGGGAGTGGGTGTGATGCAACTTCCAGCTTCCCCTCGAACAACAAATCACTAGTGGTAGCAGAAAAAAATCTGAATGAAGGGCTTTTAATGTTGTTACTCTGGTTGAACTGTTTGCTTCTCAGCTTGTGACCCGAACTTTGAAAACCTGCTGAACATTATTGTAAATAGAGGTGTAATTGTCTGATTATTAAAAAGAGATTTTCTGTTTATGTGGTTTGGGATTGATTTGATATGCAAAATCCTTTAAATGCTCCATATTGTAGTAATGTTGGAAAAATCTAAGCTAGCTGAGGTTAGTTATTAGTTCCTTAACAACTGTGAACGAAGCATTGGAGTGCAACTGGAGTGCAACCAGTTTATTCAAGGTTTTCATGTTCGGGTTGAACTTCCTGCAACCATCCAAAAGTCCACTAGACTGTATCTTCAGCACAAATGATTCTATCTGTCTATATATAGTATATGCACTGCATATTATGACATTCTTTGAATTGCACTACTAGTGCAGTAGGAAAGCCTTTACTGGATGCAATATGCTGCAATTTTATGGTTTTACAACAGATTTGGTATAAAGAGTAAGAAATTCAAACGTTGCACAGCGAGCCATCTATCTTCTCACCGGATGACTTTGCAAAGTTTGAAAACTGCACAGAAATGACCAGTAATTTACTTTTTTTTAGAAATAAATTGCACTACCATTATATAAAGAAATAATACATAAGCAAATTTTTAGTTTACTTTTTATTCTACATGTGGAGGATTTGGACCTTTTTTTAAGAGACACTTGAACTTGCACTGTTCATATAAACAACAGACTGAAGAAATGTGGAAAATGTGGAAAAACTGCACTTATTAACCTGTTTTGAGAATAATATTTGCTTTATATTAAAAGTTGTAGCTCTTGTCTGTTTAAAAAGAAATAATCTCTGGTGCTTGTGCTCTGCCAACTTCCAATAATAATACAATTGCTGAATGTGACACACACTTAATACTTGTCTCCCAAACTGATAACTTTGGAATCTCAGACCATCTAATCATTAGTTTTCTTAACTGCTTCTGGCTGGAATCTCTCCCAGCTCCCAGAGTGAGGTGCAGGGAGCAGTCCATCACACGACTAACACGGAGAGGCTCATAAAAAGCAGACTTTTGGACTGCGGGGGAGCATGCAAGCT